AGATGTTGATCTTAATCAAATCTCTGTCACATTATATTATCAACAATGTTTTCTTCCAGCCAACAAGATTACCCTCTTTTCAGCTATGGATCCATGATATTTACATTCGGTTTCCCATTTTTCCCGAACAAGCTGACTAGAAAATTTAAGACAGCAGGTTCATGTTTTATATGTATAAATGATTATAATAAAGCAGGAATGCCATGGCATTCAAAATAAAGTGTAACAAGATGACAGAATAAAGGCAAATCACACATTTTGTAAGTTATTTTTGATTAATTTTAATTTGTTTATAGCCATACACTAAAGATGGGTTTTCGTAATGAGAAAAAATACCTTGATTAAAACTTAGGTCCAGTATCATTCACACATTTTAATAATTTCCTTGGCACAACTGGATGGTTTTCAAGGACATGGCTTTGCTCTTTCAGACCACCTGTGTCTTCTGTTTGATACTGTAGGTGAGCCATACAATAGGATGTTTTAAAGCACCCAATATTGATGTAACTCTGTTCTAGTCAAAGTCAATGGAAAAATTTCAATTAGGTACACACAGAGCCAAGTCAATGGAGAGTGCTTTTGAGCATTCTTCCCCTATACTGAATATTGAGTATCACACTCATAGTCTCCATATCTGACTGTGAGGTCATAAACATAGGATAAGGGACCAATTCTGCTCTCAGTTTTTTTTCCTAAAGAACCTCATTGTACGCAGAAGGTAGTCCAGGAGATTTATGGGATGTTACAAAAAGCAGAAGAGCACAGTGACAGTGAAAGAAAAATCCTTATTTCCAAAATGAGTGTTGGCATTTGGAAAAGCACTGAAATGTTATACAGCTTGTAGTTTCACAACCTTTTACCCTCTTCAGCTTCTGGGTGTGAAGCTTGTTTGGTTTTATTAACAAGTAGGACAATATAAATACACAGTTTCATTTAAATACTTTTTTAAGGGCATATAGTCTTAAATTACACGTTTTTCTCCCCAAGTAATGTGCTATTTAACAGAACTTACACAAACTTCCAGAATGACAAGATTCTCCCAGTTAGCTGGCAAGATCAGCAGTGACAAGGGCTCTTTTTTTTCCTCCCACTCTGGCCTTCAATTGTGGAACCCTTTCCTCTCACAATTTAGTTGAAGTTCTTTCTTCTATGCCTGCCAACACTGGACTCAGGTAGAGGCACTCGCTCAGCATTGTACAGTATGGCTGTTGGAGCACTGGCCATAGACTAGGAAGTGGCTACCAAGACGTCTCCCAGGCCAATGTGGTATACATCATCACTCAACAATTCCACAGAGAAACATTTCTAATCTCCATCATATCATTTGTGACCCAAACTCTTATCACAAGGTTGTTGCCAGCAACTGACTGCTACAAGCAACTGCACTGTGATTTTTCTGAACACTTTCAAATACAACAAGACAAGCTTTCCCCATTTTGTCAGTGATTACCAATTATTCCACTTGCTTTTTAAGCATGTAAGAGAAACCCAAGTTCCTTTGCAAGAACACATTGTTTCTGGAAGCCATCACACTAATAATGAACAAAACAGCTACTGTATGTAAGAAGGCTATAGGTAACATTTCAAGATACAAATGATTATTCTTTTCTTTACTCTGACAACTTCCAGGTTATCAATTGTTTTCTAAGCATTTTAGGCTCCATGCAACTGGCATTATGGGGAAATGCTATTGTTTACCCTTTCACACTTGACAAAAGCAATTCCCACGTGAAAGACGAGTTTAGCCGTGGGACACAGTCCCAATACCTAAAGGAGGAAATAGTCTGGTGAGTTCCCAAGCACAAAAGTTGTCATGTTGTCACCCTCTATTTTAAAAGCACAACCACTTTGTTCCTTTGCTGAAGTTATTTTGGTCACTTAGGTTGGTTTTGTTATGGCTTATGTAAATCCTATATAAATGATCAATCATAAATGAAACCAAAAATAATAAAGGCTATGGATTGTAAAAAAATAAAGTTATCAGATCTATTAAAAATAGTAACTTCTTCCTTATACAGAATTTATAATACACAGCTACTCCTCATAGCAAAATCATGAAGAAAAGGAAATTCTTAAGAGGAAATTTAGATTATCCTTAGTTCTCTTTCAGTAGTTTGACCATTTCTTAATCCCCATAATAAATCCTATTTTCATTTGCATACCAAAAGGAAGGGGTGTCTTTTAATGGCCTTAATTTTAAATTTAAATTTGAAAAAATGTATTAAACATTTTGATGTAATGCCTGTAAACTTGTCAATGGGGTAACTGTAGCACTTCTCATAATGAAATAATTATAACGTTGCAAATTCCTGTATCTTCAAACAAGTTTGTGCCAGGCACAAAATTCCCACTGATATCAACAGGCCTTTACAGTAGTACAGTAATTCATTTTAAACACTGACCAACACAGTCACTGGAAGACTACCTAGATTTATTTGGAGGAACATGAATCACATCAGTTTTTAAATTTTCATTATTATAAATGATATAATAGGTATGTGCATCATATCAACATTTTTATTTCTTTTCTGCACCCCCAGGGCCTTCCTTGAGAAGATACTTTTAAGATTAATGTACTTAGTATAGAAAATTATTTCAAATAAATAAGCATTAGAACTTGCTCAGCAGGTAATATTTATAAATCCATCAAGATCAGATTAAAATAGAAATCTGTAGTCCAGTCAGTCTCAAACTGAGTTGTGCTCATTCTGCACTTTAAAGTTAAGTTATTAAATGTCCATTGTTGACTGAAAACAGCAGTTTTTAAAGTTAATCAGTTTATGCAGCTTTGCCACTTTCGAAGAGGCCGGTATCAGAGTGGAAGAAAAGACTGGTCCAAAGTTTTCATTATCACTCAGTAGGAGACAGCAAGGGACAAAACCCCACATCATACAAAATGCAGGATAGGGGATCTTCCAAACCCCAGCTTCCACCAACTTTGTCAAAGCAGAACAGACCCGTCTGAACTGAACTGGATGCCCATGCATTATGCTGCTACTCCTATGTCCAAACCCATTTTTGGAGGTGCACCACCTCAGAGCCTGAAAGGTAGCAACAGCAATAAAAATCAAGATGATATGAGACAACTGTTACTTTTTAATGAGTCCTTTAATGTTTTACATTGTTTTGTGTTGTACAATCATTCCTTGTGTTTTTATATCTGGGGATCCGAGAGTAAACAGCCTTTTTGTTGCAGTGCTCACCTCTAATTGTAACATCTTTCTTTTGAAGCACTTCTTTTCCTGTGTATATGTTCTGTGCTCTGCAGGTGTAGGTGCCTGAGTGTTCCAGGGAAACACTCTTGATGGTGAGAGGGAGGGTAATGGAGTACTCCTTAGTAAGAGGTTTTTTTGCTTTTGTTTGATTAACTGTCCTTGGTAAAATCCAGGCAATGTCTTTGTACAGGAATTTGCTGACCGAACAGGACAATATCAGGTTCTCTCCTTCAATGGGCATTTTTTCCAACTTAATATGAAATCCATTTGGTACATCTGTCAAAAATCAAGAACACTTTTAGTTTATAGGAAAGTATTGAGTCAAAAGAAATCATTTACTGTTTTCCCTGTAAGCAGAAGGTTTTTCAGCTGGAAATATTTAATGTTTTCCTTCTGGAGTCTCTAACCTTACTTCTTCCACAATGGACCGTGTCTATGCTTGTCATTCGTCCCCACAAATACAATACACGTCACTTGTACTGGACACACTGGCCTGATCTACAAGTGGCATAAATTGATGTTGCTTCTGTGATTTCACTTGAGCCAACTGATTTGTTCTAGCTCAGGGTTTGGCTCATCAGGTAAGGACATTCTAAGAGAAAGTACCAAAGGCTTTAAAGAGGGAACATTTGCAGTGGTTAGAAAGTGAGACCTATCTTCTTACAACTACAGTTGGTGAAACGGTACAAAGAAGTAAAAGCATTTTGGTGAACACAAGCAAACAGAGCAATTCAGAATCTTCTTGTGATTCATGACTATTAAGACAACTGGCTGGTATTCATTGAATATGTCCAGATCCTGAACATGTAATGAGATTTGATGCTGCCCCACTGAAGTCAAGGTTTTACACCACTGACTCCAGCGACAGTAAGAGTAGGGTTCTGGAATAAAGTCAGTTTAAAGCTTCTGTTCTGAATGTTAGTGTCTTTAATTTAATTGTAGCTAATATTCTGACGCTGTTTAAATTGTTTCTTACTCTTTTTAGTACAATTGACTTACAGAATTTGATGACACAGAAGGGTTCTTCCAATTGTTCCAGTTGTTAATTCCCACTACCCCTGACTGAACTTTACTTGAACCGTAGAGATGGGGACAGTGCCTAGTACTCATTTTTAGCATGCTGGTTTCCTCCTTTATGGTGTGAAATTATTTTTCTTAATGCCTGCTTGTTCTTGTCTTGATGCATAAAATCTTCTTGACAAAAACCTGCACTCAACACTGGGCACATCTACACATGTTATTAATGTGATTAAATAAACTCCAGCGCAGTTTGCACTAGAGTTTGTTGCTCCCAGGCACTGCGTTTACACATGTGCCTAAGACCACAGCACATTGAGCCAGGACTAAGCAGCCCCACCTGGCAGAAGGCCCGGGTGTCACCCTTCCAGCCTGAGGCTGCTTCAACCCAGCTCAACATGCTCTGGAAGGGCTGGCTGGTGCACCAGAGTGCTCCACTGTGGGGCACATTTTCAGGCAGCCCCCATACTGAAGCACTCTTGTGCCCCAGCCAGCCCTGTCAGCATCTACATGTGTGCTGCAGCACACTAAATGCCACCACCACAGGATAGTAATTATATTTACAAGTACTAACCTAAGGCAGTGTTTATTAGTTTACTGTGGCCTAATAGGGCCACACATGTAGATGCTGAGACTTTACTTCAGAGCTAATTAAGCAACTCCGCAGTAAATGTCTCGTGTAGACACATCCACTGTTCTCTATATTGAGTTTGGATTTGTTATGCTAACTTTTGGGTAAAGCATCTCAGGATCAAAACCCCGGATTCAAATTCTTTTCAACCTTGAAGTGTTAAAGACCAAAGAGGGAATTTGAATAATTTTGTGGTTTAAGACAGTCTTCATTGTTGCAATGGAAAGAAAATGTATATTATCCATTCAGGTGTGACTGATTAGGTGACTGCCAAGGATACTGAAATGGATGTTAAAACCTGTGCAAACACTTACTTCTCTTACAGTCCTATGTGGTAATTTAGCCTTCTCTCTCGCTCATTCTCAAAGTCATATTTAGAAAAGTAACCCCAAATCCACATTTTTCTGTGAATATGGTGCTGTTTCATTCTAATCACGGAAAAATGTGGATTTGGGGTTACTTTTTTAATCCAAACATTTGAGATTTTTTTAAATCAGAAAAAACCAGGATCCCTGGTCATAAGGAAAACTTTAATTTAAGGGATGAGAATCATTAAATCATAAACTAGAATCACAGAGTTGGTGGGATTTGGAAGGGACATCTAGTCCAACCTTTGCACTAATGCAACATGGTTTCTAAACTATTTCAATCAGATGACTATGCAGCCTCTTGGTAACACCTAGAGGAGGAGATACCACAAGAGAGCAAAAAACTAAGAAGTATGGGGCTGTATTCAGTGTGGACAAGCAACTGTAGCAACTTCTTTGATTTACCTAGGCTTACCTGAGGCAAGATTCTGATCTCATTCAAATCAATGCAAGTCAGGAGCTACTGAGATCAAAATTTTCCTTTGGGAGTATGTTGGTTTTGTGATACAACATCAGGTCAAATTCAGACCTATTGTAAGGAGATGCAATGATATCAATGGATCAGACTCTTGTCTCAAATATATGATCGGCCTCAGTTTCTGCACCACCTTTGCAGCAGACCAGAATTTGGCCCAGTTTGTATCAAGAAATGTCAACCTATCCATCTGAAATACTGCTACATTTTTACTTAGGAAAATACAAATACTCTATAAAAGCTGGGATAGGCCAAACAAAAATCTGAAGATGTAATTAAAGTTCCCTCTGAGAATCAGAGGCAGATGGCCTATATTCAATGTAAAAAGACCTCAGTATAAGTTCAGTATTGCTTTCATGTTGTCATACCTGGGCCATTCCCTAGGTATCACCAGGGAAGAAAAGCTAAGGCCAAAAGCAAAATCTAGTAGATTTCAATCAAATGGTTTATTTAAAGATGACAACCCTCTAATATATGACACCCAGCACTAATTGTGACAAACTGAGCCTAGCTATGTAACATGGCTGGGAATAATGTAAAAGGTTTTTATTTACTTTAGTGATTTGAAACTTCCTGTGGAAATAGCTCTCAGGTTTCCTGATGGAAGATTTTGTTTATCTTTGCCAAGTACCATCAGGAATCTCAAAATAAAATGCGCTTAGTGACATTGGGAAACCAGGGAGATAAGGCAGAGCTGTTCCTGTTTCACCCTCTGTAATTGCAAATACGCCCATGGGTCTGCTGTGTGCCAGCAAAACAGCCCAAAAAGTAGGGAAAGGGACAAACTGTGGGGGAGGGGGCTAGGGTAGTTCAATTTGATACAAAGGCATGGTTCTAGAGTCTGTGATGGCACCAGTGACCAGGAAGTCTCTCAGAAATGACTGGTCCCCATTGTCCTTGTGTAATATATAGACCTACATTTATTTAATGGACTCAGACATAAGACGCACATTTAGAAATGCATCAGCCTGAACAAAGTCTAAAGGTTCTTCCCTAGAGTAGCCAACAAGTGAGAAAGGCTATGCAAGAACCTCACTCCTTGGAGATACAGTCACACTTCCGCTAAGGATGGAGTATATACAGCTGCTCTGCTTTTAAACCTTTCAAGTCCAAAGACACATTGGAATTAGACTCGCATCCCAGCAATACCAAGGGATATACAGTTATAAATATGAGGTCTTGCCCAACATGGCCACTCCAGCAATCTACCTGGATTCCTTTGCCTTCACTTCCTTATATCTGTTTCTTTCCGTAGAAAGGGGAACAGGTCAAGGTAAAGACAGAACTAGTAGAAACATTAACTTCCACTGGCTGTCCACATGTTATTTCAGCCAGTGTCGATGGAGTATGTTACAGAAAGAGGTTGCCTATGCCATCTGTGATTCTATTATATGTTTTATCCCAATTCAAAAGTCAAGGACTGAACTATAGAGTGCTGCAAAGGAAGGGGCTTCTGGGAGTTGGAGGAATTATCTTCTTAGCTTACTCTAAATTTCTTCCAGGTGTTTTGAGCCCTTCCTGCTTAGCCTTTCCTTGCATTGGCAAGCAGCATCTGATCCTAAAAGAGGTCGTTTTCCCTTGTGTTAGATGCTTTGATGTCTCAGTATCAGTCTGTGTAATGCAGACTGTTCGCAAATGGCTGTACCAGCAATAACAATTTAAAACAAATAAACACCAGCAATCACCCTAGCCCTGAAGTATCTATTTTGAATACATTAGAAGGAAATCCTTTCTGGTGTCCACTTTGTTCACAGCCATCAGCATTTGGACTTTTTTCCCCTCCATCGTGTGTTTTTCAACAAACAGTAAAGAAATGGCAAATACGTTGCTCAGCTCACTTGTATTGTAAAATACTAGCAGACTAGAGGAATTTAGTTTCAATATAGGAGCAGACTTGCTAGAAAAATATGTGATTCCAAGTGGTGCCAAGAGCAATTAGCAGCATTATGAGTTTAATAAAAGCAACTACAAGTCAGTAGACAACCTAGATTTTTCATGTCACAGAACTAAAGTGATGGGAAATCATCAACAAATAAAACATCAGATCAGAATTATGAGCTGAGTTCATGTCAGCATCATAAACTCAGATAGAAAGATCGCTACCAACTAGAACAATTACAAATTTCCAGCCCAAAATAAAACAACTATGCCTCTTTCTGAATATGGGCTAGTCTTCAGAGGAAAGTCTGTATATCTTCTCTGCCATCATACACTCTATCGTGCAAAGAATTTCTCCCCCCAGATAAGAATCAGCTCATAACCTGAAATGCGAGAAGGGAAGCTGATTCTTTTGCACTATAATGGCATTAAGCACATAGAGAAAGTGGCAGTTGGCAGCTGTGAACAGGTTAGTGCTTTACGTGGTTTTAGGGGCTTACATATAGCACTGGAAGACTGAAGAATTTACTCTTCTTCAATGTGGAAAGTGTATTTATTATAGCTGGGTGGAACATTTTAAAAAGCAAGAATTTGGTCCCAAAACAGGAATAAATTAGACATTTGTTTTATATAAGTTGTTTTTTTTTTCTATTTCCTGACCAGTGCTGTAAACTCTTTCTATTTTAGCAAGACATCTGTCAGTCTAGAATTTTCTCCACTAGACTCCAGCCATCAAATTGAAACAGATCAACAACTAAAATGGACTACAAAAGTAGTAACAGAGCACAAAGCGATAAGCTGAAAATAGGTTTTACCTTTTCAGCTGATGTTTCATGGAAGGTTTATGATTTTAGAATTAAAGTGTAAAAAGGACTTTCTAGTTTCTACTATCTGGTTATTAAATAATTAATCACCATTTTCTGTAGTAATGAACTTTTTAAAGAACATTTTGGATCATTAACTTTTGAACTACTTTGGAAATATGTTCTGCCACAGTGAAAGTAACAGTCAACCAGAAGATGGCTCCTTTGCAATATTATCCTCCAATACGATGGTCAAGAAACTGTCCAATGGATTTTAGTAATATATTCATACTTGTTTCATTAGCCATTGAAATCACAGCATTTGGTCAGTATAGCAAAGATCCTGCAAAGATTTATGCATATACTTAATAGAAGTCAATCGGACCACTCACTTGTCGTTTAGCATATGTGTAAATCTTTGAAGGATTAGGATCTGTGTTCTCCTCATTTGTACACAATGGTGTCATGCCATCACACATCATGCTGCCCTGTAGGTGTTTGCAAATTATAAAGTAACACCATACATGAGGTAACTGAAAGCATCAAGCAGTAGAGAAAATCTTATCAGGCAACCTTGGTTCTTATGACCAATTTGCAGCCTCATTGAAATATTTAATAATGAATAATACTGATACATTACACTGTAATGTTAATCCCTTTCTGAGAAATCAGTCTCCATATTGCATAAAATACTACCAGAACAGCAGTAAAAAATATGGCCAGAGATAACGTTTACATCCATTGTAATATTTATCAGGTATAGGAAAACAAAATGGCATCATAAATATCACTTCTAGGCCAAGGGAGTGTTTTTGGGGGTTGGTTTTTTTTTGATTACAATATAGATTATACCTTACCTGTTACATAAAAGCTAACATTTCTTTCAACTGTCCCTATTTTGTTGGAAGCCACACAGCTGTAAATTCCAGACGATTTGGCTTCAGCTACAACCAGAATGCTAGCAGTCTGTGAAAGAAAGAATGGTTTTAGCTGTCATTAGATAAAGTCAATTTAAACATTTTTTGGGAAAAAGAAGTTTCTCCTGACAATATGATTCAGTGGCTCCATACATTCAGTGAGGCAGTGCTGTGGCAGTTAAGAGGAGGCATTACCATGTAACGTGCTAGAAATGATGGAAAAATAACGGGAAACTAGCTTCTCAGATGACCTTTATATTATCAGACACTACAACCCAAATCTTTGAATGTGCCTTCTAGATTGATTTATCTCATGCTGCTGATGTAATAATGACAGGTTATAAAACACAGGGTGTAGCACAGCACGTTCTATCCCAGAAGGCTGCTTGTGGATCAGTCAACAATGGGAGTAGGTATGGACCGCCTTACTCATCTGGGTAGCACTGGAAAAATGGAGCTGCACCTTGAAACCCATTTAGTATCCTCTTTCTCTCTTTCATGAGAGTGGGCCAGGGGTAGGAAAGAGGCTTGTTCATCTCTCTCAGATTTTTTCTTCCCTTTTAGATTTCAGCTTCAATATATTTCATAGGAGCACAAAATATCTATTTTAATGACATATGCCTCTATCCCACCATGTTGGCATTCTGAATCGTTTGACAGGTAGATATTATGTATATGAGCAGATGGCTCCTAGACATGCTTCTAGACAAAAACGTTATGGTACCATGCTAGGAGGTGATGGAAGGATGGTTCACTACTTAAACGCTCATTCAAGACTTGAAAAATCCCTGCCTCATTTGTTGTGTGATGTCAGGCAAGTCTCTCTGCCCTGCTCTGTCTTGGTTCCAGTTCTGTAAAATGGGGATAATAGTGCTTCTCCACCTCCCAAGTATTCTGGGAGGATACAGATGTTAAGGACTGTGAGGAACTACACACTAGCAGGCATGAGGGGAGACTTGTACTCTTACTTTGCCTTTTTTTTCATTATTTATAAGCAGAAAATACAGTGGCATCCAAAACGTGATTGGTACTGTAAAAACTTTTATAAGTTGTCTCAAAATTCAAAACAAGAAACAGCAGGTCAATAAGAACTAGGTAGAAAGTTCAAAGGAAGGGATCATGGCTGGCTGATCACAGCCTGAGAATTCATTAGTCCTCAAACAGTTCCTCAGCTGTTCCCAGGCTGGATCAAGGGGGAGGACAACAGTATGGACACATCCCTTTCTGCCACCACTGCTGCTGTCCTCGTCTGACCCAGGCACAGGGGAAGCCCCAGAACTGCTTATGTCCTTGAGTGTAGATGTGTGGGGAACTGGTGTCCGCTGGGGCTAGTGGAAGTGGCAGCACTCAGGTATCTCCCTCCAGCACCTGCTCTTGGCCAGCAGAGGACACCTGGGAGGGGTGGCAAGGAGCAGGGGCTGGAAGAAGGAACCTGCTGTGGCTGCTGCTGACCCCAGCTGAACCCAGCTGCCCATACAGCTGCTCCCTGCAACATGGGGCAGAAGCATCTCTGCGGCTTACCCCACCCCTGGGCAGCTAGGCACAGTGGTAGCCGCTGTGGTTGGTGGCTGTTTCCCTGCCTTCAAGTGCCTGTTCTCTGCCTGGCTCCTGGTGTCCCCCTCTAGCCCAGGGATTCCAGCCACATCTTGCCTCCTTCCTCAATAGTCTGAGGAGCAGTGTAGTAGGAGCATGCCCTGTACTAATCCTGGATCCCCCCACGGCTGTATCATTAACCTCAGTCAATTTTTCATAGGCTTTAGGGTAGAGGTTGGTACTGAGGAGGAATTTTAAAGCAGACTATGGGAGAGAGTAATGAAAAGGGAGGTGCCTGTATCTAAGGAACGCAGTTTGTGCTTCTTAGATACTTTCCATAAAACTCCAATAATTTCAAGGCAATTATATTTTCTTCTGCTCAGTCTGTCCAATAATTAGAGTCCTGGGCTAGGCTCAACAGTTTGGAGCAGTCCTGACAGAGGAATGGTGACCTTCTGCCCATCGTCAATAAGCACTGATCAAACCTGACAAAAACCAGTGTTGGCAAGTATTCATTCACACTCTGCATTTTCTATGTATACATTTTGAGCCGCACTAGGAGGAATCAATTATGACCCTCAAGTCTGACATCCTGCATAACACAGGCTTCCCAATTTAATCCAGGGGGAGGATGCAGCAGAGGGGGGACATCTGCCCTATTATGCAAGAATACACTATCTACCTCAGTTGTAACTAAATCATCTATTTTAGAAAAGATTTCAAGACTAGAAGCAATGATACAGGGCACCTCTGCCCCCTTAGGCTTGTTAAGCTCTGTCCTTGTCAACAACCATCTGTTAAAAAGTTATCATTTATTTCCAATATGAATTTCTCTAAATTTGCCTAAGCCATTCTGCTGCAAGATGAAAGAGCTAATGTATTTATGGACTGTGACCAACTAGCATCTTACACTTCCTTTGGATAAGTTAAATAGTCTTTAAGTCTCATTGTAGGGCAGCTTTTTCCAGGCCTTGACTATTTTTTGTAACTCTTCCCTGAACCCTGTCTAGTTTTAAAAATGTGGACATCCAAGCTGGGATAAAGGACTGCAATACTGATGTCACCAACAATGTACCAATTGACATTACTTTATCAATTTTGTGTGAACACCTACACAAAATACTTGGTGGCAGAGAATTAGGCTCGAGCTCTCTGACTCCACTGATATCTAGTTGTTGGGGTTTTTTTATTTGATTTCATTCTATTTCTGAGAATCATAGTGTTCTTGAGCCTGAAGCTTACGAAGAAAATGCTTCTACAATTCCTCCAGGTAGTGAGAATGAAAATGTTACTATCCAACACTTTGACTGACTAACAGAACACGGTTGCAGTTCTAAAATGGAAGTTTAGCCTAATACATGAGTTTCCATGCTCTATCAGACTTAGATGTAATCATTATTACTCCTAGATAGAGGTCTGTAGGCCTGTACATTTCCTCAAACATACATAATATTTCCTCAGTTATTGACCTGGGTGTTTGAAGTATGTAGGCATAAGATAACGTCCCCCTAAAATGATCTGTGACCACTCTGCTGGTGAATACTGTTTCAGGAGCCCCTGAAGCCAGCAAAGCAGTGTCCATGAAGCTAAGCCTGGCATGTTTTTCCATAGGGAATAAACACAGTTACTTTGGATCCATCTGTGCTGTGTATTTCTTTTCATATTGTTATTGCCTTGTAGAGAATAAAAGATACAACAGTACTGATTTATTATTTGCCATTAACCTCATATCATCTACCTAGTCCTGCCCTGGACATTCTCTGTAATGTGAAAAAGTTCAGGCTCTAGATAGGCAGCAGCAGAACTGCAAGCACAGAAGGGGCAGCAATACAGTGTAATTACTAGATATGGCAAAACAAAGTTTGCCTGGCATATGTGGCCTCTGTTACCTCCAAATCAGGCATTTTCACCTAGAAACTTTATTGCCATTTCCTCTCCTTCTAATGAGAGTATGTTCTCTTAGCCTTTACCCTGCCCTTTTGCAAGCACCAAGGCACACTTGTTTTATCCAAGACTTTGGTGAAAATGTTATTATGGACCACCTGTGTTGAAATATTGGCAGCACTTCACTGAGTTGTTTTTGATTACACTGATGATGTTCAGTACACATCACGTGTTGGTAAAGAGCATCAGTGTAAAACATCTAGCTGATATGCTCTGCCTTAAGATTTTTCACTATAAGACATACTTACTATAATATTTAGGGATCAAATAGCAGGACATAGACAAGCCTGAAGTCAGGGTAACCTCCTTCTCTAAGTTCATTTGGTTCAGGCAAGTGATTTTGTTGCTTATAAAATACAGTTGTACCTGAAGTGGCATAACAAACAGAAAGCTCTGTTCCAGTGGGACCAAACACACCTAGCTGATTCAAGGGGAAACTACAGTACAGGCAGCTATGTATTCTTATATCTGCTTCTGTTTCAACACCCTACATACACTAGAACTTGACTCATGCCTCTGTCACAAAGAGTGGGGATTTCCAGAAGGGGGGCAGGTACAGGTGCCAAATCACAGTTTATTTTTATTCTTGTCAAACACTAAATTTTACTTGCATGTCACAAATGGTTGTTCTAAAAGTGATGACAGAAATTGTATTTGCACTTAGGAGGATAGACAACCAAGGGAGAAGTTATGGGAAGTGCATTGAAAGGAAGGCAAGCTACAATTATGTTCTTAAAACAAGCT